TAGCCCAGAGGTTTATTATAAAAAAAACCACTGCTCTAATGATCATTCAGACAATATCTCTTCCATACAGGAAGAAATCTAAAAACACACAAATGACAGATATATTTGAACAATTATTTAACTGAATTCACAAACTTTGCTTTAAAACTTTGTTTTAAAGCCACAACATAACCAGTGCTAAGTCTTTTTTGCAGCTATTTTTCTTTGTATGGTTTTCTTAGTATGTTTGATTTGGTGATAAGTGGAGGCGTTGCAGAGACAAGGGTGGAACTAAACTGAGAAATACCAGCTGTTTCTCAGTAACTCCATTTTGACGCTTTGTGTTTCGAAGCACGAAACACAAAGCGTCTCCACTGCCTTAATTTCCATTGTTCCGAGTTTGAATGACTTCTTGCACTAAATCCACTGAGCCTCATGTATGTTCCCTGGTTTTAGCCATGGAGAAAACTCTTGGCTGGAGACAAGTTTGGTTACATTTACACTTGCTCATATTTTCCAGACCAAAAGTTAATGGCGCATCTCCCAAATGTCCCGGCCGCAGCAACGCTTTTATTGGTTCCGCTATCGGGACGGAACCAATAATGGCGAGCCGATATTTTTTTTTAAATAAAATAAAATGTTTTCAATTTTAATGTTTTAATTAGATTACAAAAATAAATCGTAATAAAAATGATCCTATTTATGATGCTTTAAAAAATAAGACCTACGAAAGACTGATTTAAGACATTTTAATACCAATTAAGGCCTTAGTTTTATTTTGAAGAATTCAACGCCTTTTAAGACTTTTTAAGGAGCCGCGGGAACCCTGGAACTGCTGTTCCTGTATGTGTGAATTTCTAAATAAGTCAGAGTGGAAGCCTAATGACGTGCACTTACCTGACACTGCATGAGAGCCTCCTGAAGCGAGGCCCTCCATTCATCCAAAGAGCTGCCCAGTTTATCCCAGCTGTTGTTCATGTCTTTCAGTTTGGCCTGCAGCTCGCGGGATTCCTCTGTGTCTGACTGCAGGAACTCAGCACTGCACAGGTTGATGGAGAGGACTATAGACTTGCGCTTGTCGTACGCCTTCTGAAGCTCCTGTAGTCAGATATAAAGACCAAAAATGGTAAAAATCCATTGATGTAAAAGAAATCTAAGTATATAAAGACTAAGTTTTGAAATAAAGAGCTAAAAAAGCTGTCAAGTTGGTATGGTTAGCTGTATTTTTTTATTTATTTAAAAGATTGTTATTTAAAAGCTTTACTGCAGTAAAAAAATGTGGATAAAGAATGGCAAATGTTTGCAAACTAAAGCTTCAATATGGAAGTCTAAGCTTCTAAATCATTATACCTTAAATCTGAAATATATTCCCAAGAGGTTAATTGGTTTAAGGGAAAAATGCAATGAAACAAAACATGGATTTTAAATGTATTTTGAAAAAACCTCTGCAGCTTCTGATAAGCGTTCATCCTCCCAACAGATGGAATTTATTTATTGAAGTTATGTTTTATTACTATTAAAACCTAGATTGTATATCTAAAGTCATATCAAATCAGTTTGTGAATTGAGAAAATACTTTTTTCAATAGTATTTTAAGTGAAACAGAAAATATAGAAATAAGGAAAGACGGATTGACTTTTGATATTCGCACTAAATAAAAAATAAATAAATAAAGAGGAGCGGGTTAAATTTGCAAACATGTTAAATAAGACAGGAAATAACGATGAATTGAGGAGAGAGACTAAGAGGGAGAAATAAAAAGGAAATGAGCGGGATGCAGCCATATGCAGCAAATTAAGATTTTCCATGGTGCGGGGGCCGACGTCAGCATGACGAGCCAGCCAGGCCAGTGAGGACATGAGACCTAACAGCATGACTGAAGCTGGTTAGCAAACAATGCAGGGTCATAGAGTGGCATGATAGTGTTTTTAATGTGTTCAGTGCACACATCATTTTAAAGGTGGTCTATCAACAATGTTAACGCATAAATCATCTGTCTGCTTTATCATTTAAATTATAAATCAATTGGTACTGGCTGACTAGAAAAAGACGTGTTTATTTATTTTAAAAGAAAATATATTCTAAGGGAGAGTCTGTCTTTAAAGTGAAACATTCAATATTTGCATAAGTGTCATCCTTGGTGATGGAGTTGATGCAGAGGGAAAGAATAATGCCAGGAGGAAGTGGAAGAGACAAATAAGGAGAGGAAGTAGGAAGAGGGGAGGGGCAGCGTAGTGTTAGGGCATAGAGCTTGGAATCCTGAGGTTCTGAGTTTGAGCCCCTCTCCCACAGACTGCCACTCTGGGTCTCTGAGCAAGACCCTAAACCCCACATTGCTGCTCAGGCGCCGCACAATGGCAGCCCACTGCTCCACAAGGGGATGGGTTACATGCAGAGGTACATTTCTCCAATGTGAGATCAATAAAGTTTGGTTATTATTAAGGGGAGTCAGAGAGGAAGCTGGAAAGAAGAGCAGAAACCATAAAAAAAAACAAAAACTACCACATACAGGTCCAGTGAGCGGCAACAGATCAGCAATAGGTTTGTTTATAAAATTACGTAATATTGGTTGGAAATCTTAAGACTGTGCTTTAAATCTCTTTTTATTATAACTTAAAGAAGGAACAACAATT